GAATTTCTTTCTCCCAGTTCCTTCCCTCTTTTTTTGCCCATATTCTCTTTCAACATATAGTAAATCATAATATTGGGAAACTGATGGTACTAACAGACTCTGAAAGCGTCCAAAGCTTTCACCAGTGCTCTGCTACCCTTGTGAAATACAGCCACCGGGCACGGAAGTGGCAAGCCTTAGAAAGGTTTCCTTCTCTCTCGGGAACAGAAATGGAGAAAGCTAATACATCATTAGCCTGCAGCTCACTCGGAATTATGGCTTCGTGCCCTAGGCATTTGAGATTGATTTTACAAGACGAAAATACTTCCTAGTTTTCCTATGGAGAGAAACACAAACATTCTGGAAAAATGTTTTGTTCCACTATGGATTTTAGAATAAGAAACAAAAAGTGAAAATCCAAAAATTTGCCAGGGAGAGATTTCAAAAAATGGCCGTATGCCATACCAGTAAGAAAAACATATGGACATATGTATATATTTCTAAGTTTCATACTTCATATTTCAGAAGCTCCCTAGCCACCTTCTTTCTTTGACATTGGATTCAGCCGTGCAAAAGGCCCGCGGGAAGTGACAGCTTCCTGAGCTCGGGTGGCTGGCTCTGGGGCTCAAAGGGACGCTCCAGCTGAGCTCCACGCTACGTGGGCGAGGACACGGAGAAAGAAATCTGCATCCCGGAACATTTCTTTCCCAGTCACAGAACAATCGCAGCACATCACTAGACGGGGCTATTGTTTAGTTTTATGTAGAGCAATCACCGAGTTTTCATTCCTCCTCCGCGCAAATACTATTTTGCAATCTGCCAACTATTTCCCAGAGCTTTAAAATGCCCTTTAAATATAATGTGTGGCTAGCAGTACTTTACCCAAAGCAAACACAGACTTCGGACTCGCAGTCTACATTTCTTTCAGCATTTTCTAGCTGCCATCACCTATTGATATTATTTGATTTGCAGCTGCTATTCAAAGTAAACAAGCAAAATCTCAGCTCTTCCTAAACCTTTTCCTGAGTAATCCATTGATATTTACTGGGAGCGAGGACCACAGATAGAGTTCTGTCACGCCTGCACCAACCTGCCTCTACAAATAAAAGCAAATGCTGATCGAATGGTTTCCGTTCAGGTTTTCAGCCTGCTGTCTCTCTCATGGCCCCGGCACGGTGGTGGGGATGGACGGGCCCCATGCGGGTGCGAGCTCCAACGCCACGGCGGTGTTTTCTGCACCAAAGACACTGCCAAAGACGTAAACGGGTGGCTCAGCTTTTTGCAAAGAACTCTGGGTTTAGCTACTGAATTGCAGGAAATAACTTTTTTTTTTTTTCCTGTATGAACCACAGGCCTCCAACTATTTCGTTTGAGCGTAACAAGTCATGACACATTAAAGTCGGGGAAATCTTGACTTCCGTGACATTAATGGAAATATTCCTTATGACTGCAACAGGGACAGATTTTCCCCACAGGTCTTGGTCTATAATGCTGACAGAGTTATTCCAATGCTGTTTTCACTTAGTGGCTGCAATGGGTATTGGTTTAGTTTGCTTTTAATATGTCAGAAAGAAGCTATTCAGTGTCTCTTTTCAGCAACTTGCTGCCATAGAATTGTTGGCTTAAAAAAATGCTTTAAGACTAGGGAAGCAAACAAATCACTATGTCGTCTTAGCACCTATACTGATGGGGATGGGGGCGCAAGGAGACTCCTTTTCCGGAGCACTGAGGGGCGACCGGAGCCCCAGCAGCTCCTGGGCAACGTTGAATTCAAAAGACACTCTGGGATGAAGAGGAACAATAGCTTTTTGCATGGCTCAAATTCTTCCTGATGGAGATTTTTATGGTCGTAAAGACGATGAGCACTCAGCTCCGTGAAAAGCCACCATCTTTTTCATAAGCCCTTTGAATGCAATTATACGAATAGAGCTGTGGGATTAAATAAAATGTACAGGTTTCTCATATGTAAAGAAATAAATATTTCCTTTTAAAGGCCATCTAGCCAGCACACAAGAGAATAACAACAGCTCAGTGCAAGGCATGGACGTTGACTTTTATTGTTCCCCACAGAATGGGGGACAATTGTTATATTGAGCTCTTCATCACAGCACACAACTTGACATCCGCATCTGACTTTGTCATGCATTAAAAGCACATGGGAAGCTTCATCTGATTAAAGGATAGCTGCAGTCACTGTAACGTACAGGCAGGCATCGCTCAAGTGAACAAACACCATGCTTGGAGTGCTTCTTCCTTTGTTTTTTAAATAACGTTTTCATAACATAGTCTGATTATAGTGACACATGTACGTGTTTTTGTGAGAAAGGCCGTAGTAATTAACTTGCATCATGGCCTGCAATTTACATGTGAAAATTTGCAATGACTCTGTCCTAAGACTGTAGTACGTATGACTTTACAAGGGAAACTCAAAAATTCAGAGATTATACAGTCAATGGCTTGCTGGAAAATACGAGCCAGCTTTTGTTCCAGCTTCCTCTGGCTTCATGCCAGGGCAGCTCCATCGACTTTGGGGTGGTTTGCTCCAATTTGCAGAAAGGGTGAAAACAAAATCAGTCAGTGCAGCTCCAGGGGAGCTGACAGCTGATCAGTTTGCCCTACCGCCTCCTCAATGACAGTCTGCAAGCATAACTAAACCCACTAAAAGGTATATAAACATATTCTGACACTTAACGAAGAATAAAACACGCATTCACAGGTTGTGGCTGCTTGGACCAGGGCTTCAGAGATATGCTCTTCAGGGGGTGAATTTTGTCCCAAATACCGTGAAATCTAACGAGTGAACATCCCCCTCCTCCCTGACCTGGCATGCCTCCCCTGTTCGCTTCTCAGATTCTCTCCCTGCCCTTCTCAGATCCCATCCGCAGTGTTAAACATCGCTAATGTTGGCATGCCAAACAGCTTTTTCTAAACTACCGCAAACAAAAAATATGTGAAGGATGAAAAATAATTAGCCACGTCTCAATTTCTGATATATTTGCATTGTTTAGACAGAGTAGTTAATCATGGGTAAGACCACAACATGTTGTGTGAATTGGGATTATTACTAATGCATACTGAGCAGAAGGTTATTAATTACATTTAAATGAAGTATTTGATATTATTATTATTGAGAAACTAAATGTTATTAATTATGTTAAAATGCTCTCGCAGGATTCCTGTGGTAATACTTTGCAGAGAGCCATATTTAAATTCCATTTACTTTTAGACCCTTCTGTCTTTCGCTCAGAAAGAAGGTACTTAGAGCAAGCAAAAGGCACCAAGAGCTAAAGTCCTGTTCCCATTAACACTTCTGAAGCACTAAGTGATATTGAACAGGTCAGCGAGGGTCCAACTTTTTTAAGGTTTTTAAATATAGAGTAAAATTTTCGTTTGTGGAAAATATTTGGTCTGCTGAAATGCCTTGGGCTGCAAATCGGCAAAGGACAGTCTCCGTGTGGTCCCCACTGCTGGGCGCAAACCCCCAGAAAGGAGTTCTGAGAAAGTGGATCAGATACTGGGTTTAATTAGTGCTGCAGTATTTCCAGGTCTTTCCTCTCTAAAATGGTTCTTACCTGTAGAAAAGAAAAGCTTTGGGCACTATTTTAAAAGGTAACTCTATTAATTCAGTTGAATTTTGCATAACCATTTTGATAGTTTCGTTCCCTGAAAATTGCAACAACGGCTCTGTTACGCTACATTTTGTCCCCATTTGTCTTGTGTCCCCATTGCCTTGCCTTTGGCACAATAAAAATAATCTTTAAAAAGAGTGCCATAAGTGGGTTGACTTTGACCTTCTGAGTATCTTGTCAATAAAATAAAAATGATAAATCTGCTTCAGAGTGCCACTGGCATAATAGCAAAGCAGGGCTACAATCTGAAAAGTGACATTTGAAAAATGACTTTTTGGAGGGTGGGTCTCATTCTTTGCCAGTGGTTTCATGTAAATATGCTGTATTTACAATGCAATACGGTAATTTTGGTAACTGCTAGGCTTGTTCACAAAACCAGGCTGTGCAATTCCTCCTCCGGCCTCTCTGCCTGTTACATCATCGTTAGCAATCAGAGATTACTGCCGCAAGAAATTAGCTGACACTTATGTCGCTGATCCATAAAGCAGATGAACTCCAGTTTGTTCTCCACCTGTGACTGACCCTGCTGCAGTGTAAACACAGTGAAAATGGCCTTCGCCTTATAGAGAAAGGGAGGAAATGGCTAAGTTAAACAAGAACATGCCCTTTTTTTCTACATAATCAGCTTTCTGATAGCAGATAACTTCTAAAATAATCACTGGGAGGCTTCATTCTATTAGCTGATAAGAGACATTGACTATTCTGTAAAGAATCAGGAGACATATGAAAATAAACAAACATACTTCTAGATGCAGCAGTTTTGATTTAAACTGTGCAATGCATATACAGCAGGTTGGATGAATTTGGCTTTATGGGTAAAGGCCTTAGGTGAGTCTGACCTGAAGTCTGACCTTATTTCTGACCTGAAATAAGTCTTCCTTATTTCTACAAACAACAAGGTACTGCTTGCTTGTCTTTCTTTTACTGTGTCTTTTTTTCTTTTTAACAATTCCTGTTTTCACTGTTCTTATAGCTATATATTGAAAAAGAAATTGTATCATGATTAAAAATACTCATATACACAGTGGTGTGAACTAAATAAAAAATGTATTTTTAACGCTCGCAAGACCTTGAAACCTCAAAACATTTTTTAATTTTTCATTCAGATGTTAATCTCTAGAACTAGACTGAGATCAGATTCAGAGGGTTAAGATTTCTATTTCTGGTTCAGATCTGATCAAAATCTAGATAAATAAAATCTTAATGTAGCCTGGCTTCCAATTTTTTATTTAGTTGCCCCAAATGTGATCTTTTCCCATAGTTTGCCTTGATACATAGCCCAGTCCCAAACTGAATCTGAGCATACGCAAATCTACCCATCTTAAGCAGTTAATAACAGAATCAAACTGAAATACCTTCTTTAATCGTTGTCCTTTTTTTTACCCATTTTAGCTCCTGAGTGCTCCCCGGAGGGACACCGCATCCTCCGCAACCCCTACCGCAGCACCAGGTTCGACTCGCTGGAACTGCAGCGAACGGTGATCCAGGACCTGGTTTGCGATCACTCCCTGCCCCACGCCTGGTACCGCTTCATGATCCACAACAGGCCTGCAGAAATGCCAACAAAATGTATAGAAGTCAGTAAAACTTAAGAATTAACCCTCGTGTGCTTGAATAAATCCTTTGATGTGATATTCCTTTCCAGACACGTCTATACAGTGATAATCAGTATAGGATAAGGGGGATTGGTGAGTGGCAGCGAGTAAATCACTTTTCCCATAATAGCACTGTTGTACCCAAGAGCAATAGTCAGAGGCCAGGATCCCGATGGACTAGGTACCATCAAATCCAAACCAAGGTCTTTCCTACCCTAAAGAGATATACCTACTGATTTGTTATGTCACTGCTCCAGTAAGTTAACTATTCTGAGCGATTCTGTTCCTGCTGGAATGGATTCCAGCTCTCTGGAATGGATTCCTGACTGTTTTCCCACTTAAAATAATGCAAATCAGGCATAGTTCCTCCGTAACGAAATCAAAAGGAAAAAAATCAACATAAAATAAGTACTTTAGTCATACAGGAGAAAAAGATAAAACCAAACCTGTCTTTTTAACTATTACAATTTTTTTGTATTATTTGCAGCTCTGTAAATGTCCTAACTGCACTATAGAACCAAAAAACTCCAACACATAACAGTACTCTCTGTAAAAAAAGACAAAAAAATTACCTATTTTTATGTCTGTTTAATATGTATGATGATAATGTTAAACAGGCAATCATTGCTGCTAGACCAATCTCAGACCCTCAGTAAAATCAGTGCCGTATTAAATAGCCCAGCTGTAGCAGGTTAGAATAATTCCAATCACACTGTTAAACAGAATTATTCAGAAAATAGTAAGCTAATTACTGTAAATGACTTTAAAGATGAAACATTCAATCTAGAGCGCTGGTAAGTTTAATACTATGGTATGTTAATCTAGCTGAAGAACCTTTATGAAATTAGCAAACAAGAGTTCACATCCATTCTGAATGGATCTGTGAACTTGTCACAATAGAAGTATATCTTCATCAGCTAACAGCAAATGAAATGTTAAGAGATAATCGTCACTTCTACAGGATTTCCAACTCTCTGCATACACAATCCATAAATTTAATTAATGTGAACAAATTGCTATGATTATTATTGAAATATTCATTTCATGGTGGGTCATCCTCGAATAAACAACTCGATGTATTATACATTTTACTTGCACTAGTTGCTCTGTGAGTATGCATGCATTCTACAAAATTATTTGTCATTGCATTCCAGCAATCTCTAGTATTTAGTAATGATCAGCTGTATGAGGTTTCTTTCCAACAATACATGCTTTGTTTCCTTTAATCTCTTCTATGGAGTTTTTTTATTCAGGTTTGTAGAGCTATATTCATCAGTTTAGTTTCTTATCTTGTAACATAATTCTTGCTGTTCGTTTCTTCATTATCCTCTGAATGACAGTAAATCTCTGTTTCACTGTGCTGATGAAGGATTACATCTGTTACATGTCACTGCTGGAAGAATATGCTTCTTTTAGATCTCCACCTTCTAAATCTTCCTCTATACTCTCTCTCTTCCACTTAATTAAATCATTGTTTAATTTGGTTGTCCATTTAATTTGAGCAAAACCTCTGGAACAAAATAATTTAAATTAATAACTGCACAGCTTCCACTCTTTAATAAGCAGTTATTACTGGACGTTCCAATCTCTGGCTAGAGCGAGATTATTTTAATTAAACAAGCGAAAGACAAAATCCTGAACAGAAGAAAAAAGAGACCACATACATAAAGCCAGACAATGCAGCTAGATAGTTAAAAAGTACACAACTCTAGTACCTTGCAGAATATATGCTTGGCGATATCCCGTTGATACTGGCTGGATGCAATTAGCTGCTTATCAATGGATAAGATTAACTTCTTAATTCAAAGTAATAGTTGGTAAGGATTCTTGCCACCCAATTGAGCTCAAAAGGGATTTAAACTATAATGGAGATTTAGAGGTCTTGCCTAGCCTGGGAGAGAATTACAAGAGGAGAACTGGCACGTGCCGAGTGTACACCAGGGACGTGAACCCTTGCGAGCTGGCTCCGCTCTGGTGCCTGCATGGGAGCTGTTGGTTCTCTCAGATACACTTTCAAACTTTATATTCTGAATTTTGTCACAAAAAGCTCCATAATCAAAATGCAGCCACATCCGTTTATTGCTTCATAAACATATGAAGCATTAATTTGAAAGAGAGCAAACCAAGTCACATTCAGAAGTAACAAGAGCTTCAGTCTATAACCAGGTCATGACTAAGAGGCCCAGAGACTTTTGTCATGAAACTCAAACAAAATAGCAGCAACTCCTCAGAATCTGCTTCTCATCCACTAATTAAACAAACAAGTAAAAAACTGAGAGCAAAAGGAAGAGAGAAAAAAACAAACTTTTCTGTCAAAGAGAGTGAAAATATAAATCATATTCCTGAATTTTCCATCCCTTAAATTCAACTGCTGTCCACAAACTTCTTCCTTCAGTGGTAAAATACTTTTGATTGAAACAGCTTTCCAATTTAGGCATTGCCTACTGAATTTCCTGGGGAAGGGGAGGGGGGAGCGGGACAATGATCTTGACCTTCTTCCCTCCATTTCTTCCTTTCCTCTCCCTCTGTGCTCCCTAAGGATGCACAGCAATTACAGGATCCTGAGCATGCGTTCTTGCGCCTTAGCCACATCCCCATCCAACAGCAAATTCTGGCGGAAAAGCAGCACAAACTTGCAAATTTTGTATCCCCAGGCATCAAGGCTGCTGCCTACAGATCACAAATAGCTTGTTCCTCAAGAACTGCCAAATTCACTTTGGAAGGAAAAATCACTAAAGGAAGAAAGCATAGGGAAGCCTTTGCTAAGATTAAGGGACTACACTAAGAGCAAGAAATGATGCACAGACATGCCCAGATCTAGCAGGAAAATGACCCTCAGAGAAAGAACAGAAGTGACACGAAAATTAAAGCTCAACAGAAAAATCTATCAAAAACACAGGGAAGAACTTAACATTGAATAGTCAACATGGGAAAAACATTGGTTAGGGAAACAGGTTTCTGGATTAAAATAACCTAACACACACACATACATACACAGCTGTACATATGCATGTTATATAAGGGCAAGCCACAGGAAAGGAACGAATACTGAAAAGAAATTAGAGGCCACACCACCTGCTAATGTTATTGAAGATCTGCACTACAGTCGGCTAAAAGGTCAGTCTGTGCATTAGAGAAGAGCAGCGTACGCTCGTAGCCGTAGCGCGAATACCAACCGGCAAGCAGGCCTTGTAGCCCTGGCCCACGGCGTGTAGCAAAGCCACAAACATGGTCAGAGCCACAGTTCTTCCTTCTCCTCGCTTACATATGGGTGAAAAAAGGAGAGATTACACTCTGCGACCTTAAGGAAAAATGTCAATTAAGAATTTGATTATGCAAATAATAATCGGTTCTGGAGTGGGGGCAATAGCGCTCTTGATCCTTCATACATGAGCTATACTCGTTACTTCTCAAAGCAATGCTAATACTCAGCTTTGAGTACGCCAGGACTTGCACTGGCAGGGTCTGTCCTGAGCGCTCCTGGGGGGCACGCTCTGAAGAAACGAGGCCAGGAGGGGGGATAAAAGCCAACCCTGCCTAGGCGATGACACCTAGCACAACATTAAGTAAAATGCAGAAACCAGGCCAGGCTTCACCAGCCGCTCCTGGAAGAAGAGGGCCAGGAAGTGGAACTGGGCAAAGAGCTTCTATGGGAGTGTTTTTTGTCAAGTCAGTGCTGCGACTATCACCAGCATCTCCTGATCCAACGACTGCCCTCCATAGTTCATTTCTGGAAAAAAAAGAGAAAAGTGAACAAGCTGCACTGGAGGTACTCAAAGAAAAGAACAGCAGGCTTTAAAAGAAAGAACAGGCTTTAAAACAAAAGAGCAGCAGGCCAGAATTGACATGGAGACAGAAGAGAGGACAAGATCTGAAATGTCTGCTGGGGAAGATGCTTCGCAGAGTGATTAAAGCTCTCAAGGGGACACAGGTCCTCGCAGCCTCACGTGTGGGTTTCCATCAGGGTTATGTGTTGGTAGGGCTGGGGCTGGGTTTTTTCCCTCCCCAGCTTGTATTTCCTGAGGAAACTACTGAGGCAGGAGGCAACTTTGGGTTTATCTGACCTGGTTAAGGAGAACAGCCCATGCACACACTTGCTCAGGTGAGCTATTTGTTTAAAGACGAAACGGCCCTTCTCCCTCTCGTTCTCTTCATTGACTCTTTCTCTTGCTGAGGAAGCGTATTAGCCCATACTGATGCTGTCACTGCTCATTTCCTGAGTTTCTCAGAGTGCATTTGGCTTCTGTTGTGTCCCCGTTTCACCCCACGGCCCCTCACTGACTCACTTTATTCTCTAAAATCCTGCCCGAGGGCTTGACAGGAGCAGGCTTACGCCAGAGCCTCCAAACAGCCACATGCACCAGCCCAGAGGTCTGGAGCTTGTCCTGCCCCGTAGCTTGTCTCTGCCTGGAGCCAAATGCGGTTGCCCAGAGAGAAGTGCAGAAGCAGGACAACTGTTATGCCTCCTCGCATGGCTGGTCCCCAGGTACTTGTGGCGTACACTTCTGGAGTGAGACACAGGCTTTATGTGACTTTGAATGGATTCCTCCTTCATGAACCAGGCCGGTCACTATAACTGCTCAGCATCCACATTCTGCAGCAAGTATTCCTACAGCTTGACAACACCTATCTCATTCTATGATGCTCCGTTTCGGCAATACCTGGTAATAATATCTACGTATGGCTATTCCTCAATATTATTTCCAATATCTGTTTTTAAGAAATTTCATTTGCTAAATGAGCACGCCATGTCCAAATTTGCGTATCCTTTAAATTCATGTAAGATAATATATGTGACATAAGAACAACACGTTACTCAGTCGAGGCTGGTGTTTTCTCAACAGTTGCATTTTTAACATTATAAATTAACTTGTAGGTTTTAGTCTACTCTTTGGTGCATTAAACAAGGTCGCGTTAAAAGGTATCAAATCTAACCTGCCTATAATTCCTAATACTATAGCCCCTGACAAAGGAGATTTACT